GTCTGTTAATATTCTGTTTTTTTACTTGTAAACATTTTAAAACTTTTATACAAAGTACACACACATACACAATGACACTAAACACACACACACACACACACACACACACACACACACACACACACACACACACACACACACACACACACACACACACACACACACACACACACACACACACACAATGTAACAAAACACACACTCACACACAAACGCGCATTGACACAGTTGAGCTTTTTAAAGAACTTAAATACTAGTAGTACACAATGTATACAAATATTTTTCAAAAATTTCTAAAAAATTGTCAACCTTTTTTTTCCTCATCACATTCATCTAAACTTAAAATCACAACCGAATACTACCTGTCGAGCATTTTTTATTCACATTTATAATTTTTTTAAAATTGTTAATACACACAAAATGAACTTTTATTAATATTATTAAAAATAATATTAATCACAATAAAAAGGTTTTAATTTTTTGTGTTCAATCGAAAAGAGAAAAAGAAGAGAGAGAGAGAGAGAGAGAGAGAGAGAGAGAGAGAGAGAGAGAGAGAGAGAGAGTGAGAAAAAAAGAGAAAAATAGAAAGTCTAAAACAACGATTACAACGAACAAACAATAGAATTCACAAATTACTAAATAAGTAAATGTGTGTTTACTAGCAAGTCACTACAAGCTCCTGAAATAATGATTAAAATGATTACAGATTAATAAGCAAGAGGCTACACATTTACTACCAAGTCCATAAAAAATTCAAAAACTTCGAAGAATATGCAACAAAAATGAATCCGAAACTGAACCCAAATAAATGATGAGCCGCTACCGCAACCATACCACCACCATCATTTTTTTTAGTGTCATATTTTGCCAATTGAAACGTCACTTCGTTAGAGGTACTCTGGTTGTTTGAGGCCATACATTTATACGTACCTACAAGTTTATTTTTATTCAAACTTGTATAACTAAATACAACCTCGCGATGTAAAAGATCTTTTATGGGTTCTATAGTTTTTGTTGAGTTGTTTGGAAATGAAATTTTGACTGTTACTACGGGGTACCCTGTAACTCGGCAGGCTACTAGGACCCCGTTCTCAACTGTAGTTACGTTCATCTTTACAACTTTTGCTCGCTTGTGTTTGCTGATGATGTTTTTATTCAACTTGGGATCACGCTCAGGTAGTTCGTCTACGTCGAAGTCAATGTCGAATTCGCCGAAGTAGTCAAATTTTGAGAAGGGAGATAACATGTCCTTTAACTTGTCCAAATTTATTTGAATTCTTGGGTCATTTGTGATGAGTTTGACGCGATCAAGTAGGTCAAAAATGTTTTTTTTGATAGTTATTTTGTAAGGAGAATAGATTTCCAGTTCTTCCAAACTTTTGAAATTGATCAAGTGATCTGAGTTTAATGATACTAAGTCGTTGTAGTAGAAACCAATTTTGGTTATTCTATCGCGGAGGCAGGCGATGGTCTCGAAGTCGATGCTTTTCGTCTGTCCGTAGACAAAATCAATTGTGTTAAGGTTTTTTATGTGGCAGAGGAAGTCTATCCTGTGCACCCCCTCGTCTAATGAGACCAACTGCAGTCTGGAGAAGTTCTATGTATCGGAACAAAAAAAATTATAAAAAAATTATAATTATAATAGTGTACCACAAAAACCTACATACACACACACACATACGAACACATGCAGGTGGCCAAGTGTATCAGCAGACATGATTGTAATAGTGCGTAAATCAAAAAAACAAACGAACGTACAAACAAACATGCATACAAAATTTACCAAATACACACAAGTAAACAAACAAGCAAGTTTGCACATATACCCTGCCATACCCTAACCACACAACAGCATACAAACAAACAAGCACACTTACAGCAAAAACAGCAATCAACACTCACCTCAAAATGTTTAACGTTATATCCGCTAGGAGGATCCTTACTTAAATGTAAACTTTGCAATTTATCGGAAATTCGGTTCACAAAAGTTGAATCCCAAACCATGGATTCAAGTGTGGGAGAATTTTGGATATAAAGGTTATCTAGAAAGTTAACATTCTCTAGAACTTCTGCCGATATTGGCTGTTTCACGCGGACTTCAGTGAAGGCGAGGGTGCCAATTTTCAGATTGTGGAAAAAAGTGGAACTTATTTTACCTGGGGAAAAATGAAAATGTTACAAATCTAGTAACAGTTTTATTATGCTATGAATTAATTGCAAAATAATTTTGCTCAAAATTTGAATAAACACCTTTATATAAATAATAATTCCATGAATGGATAAAATGAAGCGATGAACGAATACTAAATGATTGATTGAAAAATAAATGAATGAATGCATGAATGAATGTGAACCAGTGAGCATATATTTAATCTTTAGAATTTTGTTAAGTTGTGGAAACCTACCGATTAAAATCAAACATACAATTTAAATATAGACAAAAACGTATTAATAAAATAAGAATAATTATTCAATGGAAGTTGTTAAAATTTACCAATTTATTTGTTTATTTATATATTTATTCATTCATTGGTTTATTCATTCATTTATTATTTACTTCTTTCAACATTACCACATTTGTTCGTTCATTCATTCATTCATTGGTTCGTTCGTTCGTTCGTTCGTTCTTTTGTTTGTTCGTTTGTTCGTTCACTCGCTCGTTCACTCGCTCGTTCACTCACTCACTCACTCACTCACTCACTCACTCACTCACTCACTCACTCACTCACTCACTCACTCACTCACTCACTCACTCACTCACTCACTCACTCACTCACTCACTCACTCACTCACTCACTCACTAACTTGCTCACTCGCTCACTCTATTTATTCATCTATTTATATTTTTTTCAATTATATCATTAAATCAATGTTTTATTCATTCATTCATTCATTATTTATTCATTTATCATTTTGTCTTTTCGTTCATCAATTCCTGCGTACATTCATCTTGTCACTCACTCACTCGTTCGTTCGTTCATCCTCTCATAAAAGTTCACCTATGACGACGTTGATGAACTCGATAGTATCAACGAGGTTCTCCCTGGAATGGTGGTAGGGATAGGTTGCATTGACTTCGTCAACCGTACAACGCTGAATGGAGCATTCCGTCTGGTCACTGCAAACCTCCGCCGGACATGGTTCGCTTGTTGTTGCTGTTCCTGCAGAGGATGATTTCAGGAAATCCGGTCTCTGATCTTCGGGATCAAAAACTATTTTAACCCTAGGCTGTAGGTTAGCCATGTTTTTGTTGAGTGTCAAACGCC